TAAATAATTATAATGTTAATTATATTTTATTTGAAATTTAAATTATGGAACTGACCGTCGTTATTGAGATATTTATGAAATTCCTGGCATGACATATTATAAATTTGTTTAAAAATTAGCTCGGCCTCTAATGTTGTTAAAGCAATCCGATTTCTCTTCTTTTTCCCGGCAGTCCTCATCAGGCTAAAAATGCGCTCGGATGAGGCATTAGAATGAGGTAAGGAGAAGACATACTCGCATATTTTTTCCAAGCATGGGGATTTATTGTTATTATGAAAAAATTCAACCCATTTCTCCTCTATATTTAGACCATCTAACTTTAAGTATTCTGGGCTAATCATAAAAAATAGAGAGAATTACAATCTCCTCAAACAAGACATCAATGTTTTTCATTATTTTTAATATATATATTAAATTACAAAAACCATCAATTGATGGTTTCTGTTCCAAGGTCATAATATTTATCCATTTGTTAATAGAGTTATTAAAATTACATTTTAATTGTAAATATTCTAAAATTGTCTTAATAAATATATCTGCTTCATTAAAAAATTTATTATTTAGAGTATTATTTGAACATTTTAATATAATATTTTAAGCAATAGCGCCATAAAATTTATTATCAATTTTTAACTGTAGAGATGAACAGAGCTGTAGCATGATTTTATCAATAAAGAATATTCTGATTACAACTGAATATTAACTGCATGAAGTAGATTTTTTACATGTGAAACTAATATGCTTCTGCAATTTCATAATCCAAAATATTTTTCAAAATTTTAGGACAGCTTTTAAAATCTTTGTTTGTAAAATTTTAAAATTCTATCGATGTCAGGTATTAATGTTAACCACCTGATAGGTACATATCGCAACAACTCACACCATTCCAAGTCAGACCACTCTACCAACTCTTTTAGTTGATGAACTAAATTCGTTAAAACATTTCATCACAATTATTTCGACATCCACAGATAGTACATTCATTGCCTTCTTGTAAGAATCATGTTGTATATGGCATATTCAGCCAATTGGTATTAATTCATTATTGTGCTGCGTAAAATAGGTAAATACACTTTGGTTTTGCCAAAATTTACAAAGGCATTATCAGCGCAGATAGCTGACATGCAATTCATTCATAACCCTGAATCAGCTATATTTACATTGTGTGGTTAGCGACATCGTTGGATTTTTCACTATCCGAGGAAAAATTTTTTAACAGTTTTATTGAAATGTTCTTGGGAAATGTTTTAATATTTCCCTTATTAGATACATCTGTTACAATTGTATATGGATGCCCATCTTTTAAATCGTCTAGAATTGATCTCTAGGATTCAGGTACTATAACCTTTGCACTTATATTGAAGTCATTAAATATCATGGGAAAATTCGACCAACATTGTGATGATATAGCTCTGTGAATTTTGAACCACATAGGTTTATACAATTTCCGCAGCTGTAATTGCATCTGTATTATTTATTATTTTTGGAAAATATTTTTGTATTGCAATCGATATATACGATATTCTCCCCTGTACTGACTTATATGAATGAAATGATTTTGATTTATTATTGGATAAAAATAAGACTGGATAAAAAGAAATTTACAAATTAGACATGTTTTTCGAAATATTTAAAATTTATTTTAAAAATATAAAAATAATCAATTACTGTCTCTCAAAATTATTATTTATATATTAAAAACGTTAAAATACTTTTTTTAAAAATTGCGGTAGGTTTTTGCGGAAGATTTTCAATTGCGGTAGTTTTGCGGGAGAGAGATGTCTGTGTGTAAACTAAAAATTTGCTGGAGTCTCCCGCTGATGGGGGGAGACATAGCAACCCTGGCCATGAAGGTAACTCTGAAAACCACTAAATGAGCTATTCGGAATCCCACTCATCGAGCCAACTCATACGGCTCATTGAGCCATTTAATACATTATATATTCGTTTCATATCATCATTTAATATCAAACACATTGATTCAATCGTCGGAAGAAAACAATTCAAATTGGATAATTCCAACAAACTATTTGAGTGCTGGGTAGCTAACCTTTACCTGATATTATTTCATACATATATTTAAAATCATTATATCATACCAAATATATAAGATCAGTAATTCATAATATACTACATTATAAAAATAGGTAAAATTTTACAATTCTAAATCTAATTTACTATAAGCCGCTCAATTTGAGGTGAGTTTTACGATTCAAAACTTGATTAGAATTTAGGCTGCGACTTCTCAGCCAATTCACAACATTACTCATGCTCATATTTTTTTTAAAAAATTTAGCCTACTTTTTCGTGTGTGTGTCGTTATTCTTCTTAATTTTTGTTTTAAACTAAATAGAGTGAAAATTAATTAAATAGTTTATTTTTAAAAAAGCAAAATGTTATTAAATTTAGAAATAAGTACAATATATAATATTATATTTTTGTAATAAAGTTTAATTATTATTGTTGTAGTGATAGTTGTTGTAGTTATAGTTATTATAATTATCTTGGTATCTCGAATTATTATTACCGTTATTCCTATCATAGTATCTAAAATTATTGTTGTAATTCCTATCTCTATTCCAATTATTATCTCTATTATCATAATTATTTCTAAAATTATTTCTAAAATTATTATCAGGTCTAAAATAATTACTATAGTCATTTCTATTTCTATTGTTAAAGTTTTTATCTTTATCAGACTTTTTATCGTTATTTATATAACTTATATTATCAATATCTGATTTATCATTAATACTATCTAATCTAATTCCTAGTTAAATTAATATTTTTACAAAATTTATATTTTATTTTGTCATTTAAGTTAGACGTACGTAATTTTTCTTTTAATCTACTGTCGTCTAAAAAATTACATTTTTTATGCAGTTTTGATACTCTTATGTACCATTGCATGAAATTCTCACTCGAGTTCTGCTGTAAGTTGAATTTGTTTATTAAAATATTTTTATCTTGTACAGGTAAAAGGTAAGTTAACTTCTTGGCCACTATCTTAAGATCTAATATGTCGGTATCAGAGCAAATTGATTTAATATTATCAAACACATCTTCAGATAAATTATTAAGTAAAGTATTTATTTAAATAGAGTCCGGTAATGTACTGGTGGGAAAATAACTTAATATTCTGTCTAAGTAAATCTCAGTGAGTGGTCCAACCAATTTTGGAATTTTGTATATTAATTCTGGTTTAGTGTCCATATTTTATTAAGGATTACAATAATATTTGATATAAATATTTGGAAATCATAATAACACTTTATATTTTTATAAAAATACACAGGAGTTGAATAAACTCCGAGTCGTTATAAATGTAAAACTTTCCATTGAGTTGTTCAAAATAGTTAACCATTTTCTTAAGACTAACAAATTCAAAAACGACATCATCACTGCCGGGTACTCTCGAATAATGTACGTCAAAATTGTAGGTCAACTCAAAAAGTATATCTTAAATAGATATTTTCAGAGGAATATTAATAAGTTTAAAAGAAAACATAATAAGAATAACTTTAAAATGATTTTACCTTTTTTTCTTCTTATATAGAATATATTTATTTCGTTTTATTTTTTATTATTCATATTTTTACATACATCTCACCATAAAAATATATAAAAGAGAAAATAAATTTTTTTTAAAAAAAATTAAAAAAAATTGCATGGTGGCGGGTCTTTTTTGCCAACTACACACCGAGGCAACATCGGGGCACAATGTAGAGAATATATGTAGAGAATATATGTAAAGAAAACGAAAAAATATATTTTATTTATTATTATTATTATATATATTCATCCATACACTATATATATTATCTAAAAATACAAATTTGAATACATATAATCAAAACGAAAAACAAAAGTAATAATAGGTAAAGTATAGTTATATAAAAATTAAATTATATAAAATTGAATTGTAAAAAGTTGAATTGTAAAAGGTTAAATCGTAAAAGGTTGAATTGTAAGTCAAAAAGCAAAAATGAAATAACAGTACAAATTTAAATATATAACAATATGTATGCTAAGAAGTAACATCAAATCAAATATTGATCTATGATAACAATGATTACGGTAAATTTGCTGGCTTACCACAATCGTTGTTATTTGAGTGTCCTTTTTAGATTCTTATTCTTCAATATTATTAATGAATTTAAATGAGCTATTAAGCTTTCATTTTATAGCAGTTCCTTCTTTGCAGCTAACGCAATTTTCAACTGCTGAATACCTTTTGTCCAAATTCATCCCTCGGACAATAAATGAGTCAATGAATATTTTGAACTAATATTTTTATAGGTATGTTATTAGTTTGCATAAATTAAATAATATTTGTCTAAAAATTTTGTTGTATTTTTATTTAAATTTAGTTGTTAATTAAAAATTAATACCTAATAATTTTTCTAAATTAGGAGGCTGGAAAAATATTGGCGGCCATTTTTGGAGGCGAAATATCTTTTTAAAGGGCAAGGTTTGGGGTCCAAAATTTTTTTTTGAAGGGAGACCTCCCCCTACTGACTGTGGTCCTAGATAAAAATAACTAGTTTGGGATTGTTGTAAAAATCGGGTTGATAAGATAACTCCGCACTAATGAATTACTTGTGAAAGCTGCGATTGAAATGTGAAGGTAGGATTATCACTTAACCTAATTTGTTATGGTTGCATGGAGTCATGATTTAAAAATAATGTAGGAATTCCTCATGGTATTGGATAATCGTGTTTTGTAATTAAGGGTTAAGATCACTAAAAAATAAAGAAGTGCTGATGCTGAGAAATTTTTTATCATAAAATCTGCTTGATTGGATATATTCAAATTATCTAAGGCTTAGAAGAGTACCTAGCGAGTAATTTAGTTATTATTGAATACACAAACGTATTTATATTAATCCCATATTTTTAGAATATGTATCGGTTTTATATATCTTAAATGTATTGTTAGCACAATGACATTTTGTTATTTCAATATGATACATGTGTTTTAGTTTAAATTACCATTTTAGGCCAATAGTTGCGTGACTAAATTCAAGGTGTTTTGGATTGCATTTACAGTTATGACTATGACTGATACCAATTCTCAAATCAAAGTTAAAGTCGCATATAATGGGTATGTAATATAGAAAAAATATATAAATAATGATAATTTTTAACTCTCGTTACAATAACGAACTATGTTTTAATATAAAAATATTTTAGTTCATTTTTTCCATTTTCAAATTGCTTATTGAAATTATTCATAAAATTTTAATTTTCATATTAGTTTATAATAATTTTGTTTCTTAAAATGTTTTTATAACCAGGTAAATTTTTTATAGTAAAAATTTTATATATGCAGATTTTTTAGCCATAATTTGATTTTATTGTATATTCTTTCTATATACAGTGTTGTGATGATTTAATGAAACATATTGATGATTAAATTAAAACCCATCCATATAATATTAATTTAATCATCAATATGTTTTATTAAATCATCACAACACTGTACATAACAGGCATTTAAAATTTATTTTATAGTTAAGCAGGGGCACTTCTTTTTGTTTAACACATTTTTTAGAATTACCTTAACTTACTATAGGACTTTAATTAAAAATGTTTATTTAATATTATTCAACTGATTTTAATCTAATATCTATATACAAATAAAAATAAATAAAAACATACTAAACTATAAGTGGGCTAAATATGGATGGACCTAACTTATTCTTATCTTGGCCTATGGGTGTTTTGAGTCTGGATAGCAAATTAGCAATAGTCTAGTTTTTTTTATCATACCTGTTATGATATTTTTAGTCAATCATAATCCTAAAATACATAATTTAGAAATTTTTTTATTAATACAAAACAATCATAAAAATGTAACTAAATACTTTAAATGCCAATAACTACACAACTGAACATATTTTTCAAGATTTTGATTAAATATTAATAAAACTTAAAGTTACTTATACCAGGTATCTAAAAAAATTATTGTTTTTAAATCATGTAGAAATTATATAATGCATAAATTAATTACCCTTTTACCTACATTTATTCTAATATATTTTTGATTAAGGACAAAGTTTGCAAGTATCCTCATTTGTTTTATTAGAACTTTCTCCTTTACCCATGCTATTCACATTAAGAATATCATTGCATTCACAAATGTCTTAAAAATGGAATGTGTGATATAATACTATCTTCTAAAAACAAATCATCAAAATGTGTTATGAATAAAAAACACAAACTTCAGATTATAAAAAAATACAAAGAATAAATTTTTAACTCAAATTATTTATAAATTATTTATTTAATTTTTTTTTGACATGAGACATTGTTTTTTTTATTTGCCAATTTGGGAAAAGAGTGAATAATAAGGTTAGGTTAAAGGATGTAGCAAAAATACTATGTCAGTCTTAAAGAGTTAAACAAATTATCTAGATTATTCCAATAAAGCTTTGCTAAGAATATGTAAATGTTGTAACTCGATAATTTTTTTAATTTTTAAAATATTATTTAGACATTTAATTAATTGTACATTGCAGTTTTTGTTTAAATACTCATTTTTATTAGATAATTTTATTATTCATATTCCAATAATGAATCAAAAAGTGCATATTAATTATTTTAAAAATTTCTTACAACATTGTTTAATTTTTAAAAGAATATTATTAGATTTATAAAGTACATATCACAAATATAATTAAAGAATATATTATAATTATATATAATACATTCATTTAGCTATTGCAGCATTGAAGAATTGTTAGTAATTATCAGAGAGTAAAAATTATTAAACAGCATCAACTTATTTTGTGCCTCCTAGTAATCAATAATAGATAATCTTAGTTTGGCAGTTATATAATCTCAGGCAGCTATGAAATTACATGAAAAAGAGTTTGTATTGATGAAATAGATTACATCACCCAAAACAAAAAAACTAAACCACTTAAACTATAATACAAATTATTTAATTCCACAATATCCTTATTTATTTCTTTCCTCTAAAACAATTATAAATTTATCTTATGTAGAATAATTTGATTTTTTTTCAGAAACTTTATGTTTCTTTTATTCAAATGCACAATGAAGTCTTTAGAAAATGGGGTGTGGCCAAAATCTTCAAATAAAGAGTGTCATGAGATCTGTTTTAAACTATAGAATATTTGATGTTATAGTTACAATTTATATTTTATTTAAAATTTATTTTAAAATATTTTTAAAGAAAATTAATTTTTGTAACGCATTTAAGTTCCCATTGTACAGATAAGGAATAATTTTTTTTACAGAACAATAAAATTAAAAAAATAATGAAGTTCACTTTTCTTATTGGGTTAAAGATTATGCAAATTTTATTTTATAAGCCATTTAAAATATTTTCATAGATTTCTTTTGTATAAATTGCAATTCATCATCACTTATTATTTCTTTTTTTAAACTTTATCACAAACTAAAGGATAAAAGAATTACTATCCAAAAATAATAGAGTCTCGATTAATGATGGAATTTTTATTTTTTAATTTTTAAAAAACTTTATTATTATTTTTTTTATTACTAACATTAACAGTCCTTATAAAAATGTAATGTACCAATATTTTATTGTATATATTTTATTTTTGCAATTTTAATAAAATTGAGACATACAATAATTTTAGGAATGCATTATTAGAAGATCAATGGATTGCACAATTCACTAATATCTCTCATGACTAACCAGAATCACGTACTGTCAGCTGAAGATGGACTTTATTATGTTTTTGTATCCCTAGATTCATAGACGATCTTACTATCTGGTCAAATGGGTATGTGTCCCTTTTAAAAAATATAAATCATTACCATAATTTAAACATTTAAATCCCCTTTGATGATATCAATGCATCTCTTCAGTTAGTCGAACCTTATCAAGTTAAGATATTATAAATAATAATATTAAAAAAACTATATCAAATAATTAATTTTATGGAAGAAGAAAATGTTTGATTTGATTTATGACAACAAAAATAATCAAGACTTTCAGAAAACGTTTAACTTATATGAAAAAACAGCATGCTAAATGTTTTCCAGCGATAAACAAATCTTAAAAATTTCTTGATTATCACCTTCATTATAATAGATCACATTAATCGGCATCTTATAAAATCAACATATTATGCAAATGCGGAATTCCACTGCAGACAGTGTCCTTGAGCGTTACAGTTAAATTTTTAAAACTTTTATTTAATATTTAACGTTATCGTGCTAATTCCTATCATTTCAAGACAAACGAAAGGGTGGAGCGGATTACTACAATACTGAGGAACTTGAAAGATACCGATTACTACATTTGAGACCGTTCTCCATCATGGTTTAAGACGGCCGTTTAAAAGGTTCATCCTGCTTTCGTATTATAAAATCATTTGAGTACTCGAACTAATATTTGGTTCTCAGCTGAAAATTATCTGTCTCCACATTGATTCTTCCCAGGATTGACGTATTTGAGTCTTTTTTGCTTCTGCTGATATCAACAAATGCCTTTTCAATGCCTTATAAAAAATGACATAATTAGAGATTTTTTTAAGTTAAAATATACCTTATAAAATGGAAAACTTATAGAATCTTTTTATTGCAAAGACTAATCGAATGAAATGATTACTTATAAGCACCAAATTTATTCGGATCCTATTTTTCATTAATAAATATTATTAATTCAAATCCTTTTGGGTTTTGACACTCTTCATACCTCTTTTTTTTGCTGAGAGCAGTTTCACTATTAATATCAATATTTCAGAAATTTCCGTCGGAGATAGCCTATCTTTAATTTTGAGGATTTCGATTCAAATGAGTTGAATTACTGCGCGATATTTAATCATAATGTAACTTTAAAAAATGTTTTAAACACAAAACACTAGCAGACAATAGTGTTGAGTATGAAAATAAAAAATACGAACCTTTAGCTTAACTGAAAAATTGACAAATTTAAATAGTTGCTATTAATTTGATTCTCTGATGTTAGCATTCATTTTAATTTACATACTATTACTAAAGTCTAATCGGGCCAAATTTATAAAACCCGGGCACGATCCCTAACGATATTTTTTTATTTGTCTCGAAAAGCCCGACCCAAAGTAACAATTATTTGTCCGCCTTGCCTGGCCCGAATTTTTTCAAATATAGAAAAATTTAATATTTTTTAATAGTAAAAAAAATATTCTACAAATTAAAAATATTGGCGCTTATTTCTTACAAGAATTTTAAAATATATCAATTTATTTTACAAAATTAAATATATTTAAAAATTATAGCCTGACCCAGCTCGAATCGAAATTATTTTTAAAAAATAGGCAGGGCCGGAATTGCTGATAAAATTATTGATTATTTATATTTATTGCTTATTCATCATAAAAAATGATGTAATCGAAATGGCATAATGATTTAAGTATACAATTTATGATTAAATATCCCCAAATATTGCCCCCATTCTTCATTTATTCTCCCCCCCCCCCTCCCGAGAAATATATTCTAGTTACGACCTTGATAGGGAATTCAAGCCCTCTAGAAGATTTATAAATAAAAATTTATTTACATTATACTAAGATAGCTGTGATCCAATCATTAGGACAAGCCCTTCACGCCAAACTCTAGTTATGATTGGGAGAAGAATCTTCGTGCATAACATAGGATAAACTGTTGATTTTTTTAAATCTAAAAATACTTAAATATTTTGATGACTCTTATATATAAAAAATATGTATATTTAATTTAATACTGCATATTTAATTTAATACTGCATCGTATGCTAGTGTTGAATGATTATTTAGTCATAGCTTATACTTTCTAATCGTTGCTCTAGACTTGTAGATGACATTTTAGAAATGTTATTATTATTGAGATGTAATAAAAAAAAATAATATATATTTGAAATTTCAGTCATATTTTTTATTTGTGGAAATAGTGATACTTAAAAAATATTTTAAAAAAAATTCTAAAGTAGGGTAAGAAGTAGCTATTAGCGCGTTACTTTTTTGAAATCGGTCACGATAGCGCGCTACATAGCTTCTAACAACCCTGGAAAATTTTAAAAAATGTCCAGGTTTATTAAAAAAATTTCAAATGTTATTTCCTGTATTTTTATGTAAATAATTCAAATTA